ACACACACACACACACACACACACCTATACCAAGCACTACACTACCACACCTGCCGGGAGTCCGTTTGGGAGCTTACAGCTTGTACCGACTGGGGCAGTGCTCTCCTGGAGAGGGAAATCCCCCGCTAGCCAATGAGAATCGGCGTCGGATCTCACCATCCAGCGAGGGAGGAACGTGGCCGTCTCTCGCGATAAAACATTCACTACACTTACATGACCATAGCAGTTGATGTGCGCGGAAACATCAATGAACCTAATGGTGGACGGATTCCAGAAATTTCAATAAATAAGAATTGCAAGAGGAACAAAGTCGATTCCCCAGAAACTTCGAATTCGCCATCCTACCTTTGGAGAAGCATAACTCAAAGGTTCGTAGTGAAGGCGCTCGAAAGTACGTTAGCTTTACCAAACTTATGATGCGAGTTTTAGTATCTTAAGGTATTCATTAATGTGTATTATTTTGAAAAAACAAATTACTGAAACCGAATTCGCATTACGAAGAGAAATAGAGTACCAGAAAACAAAAGGAATACCTGCAACTACAGGACGATCGTGAGTGAAATGTAAAATCTGAGAAGGGGAAAGAAAAAAAAAGGAATTTGCGTAGTAACCTTCAAGCATTCACTACTTCATAGTGTTTTTCGAGCGTGCATTTGACAGTACAAAAATCACTTCAAATCATAAGTAATAGTGAATTTCCAGATAATACATCTGACAGCAGAAACAGAAAATTATCCCTGTCAGGACTAATCCCGGATCTGCCCACCTGACAAGACATCTACCACTTCGGAGAGCAGGCTTCAAATGCCGCAGCAGGAAAGCGAATCGCCGAGGGCTACGCGTGACAAGCGGATTTGGGCCCGGCACAACGCGCCCCGGGGACGGGGGGAGGCGTTCTTTCCCGTCGCTGGCGCGGCGGAGCCCAGAGCGGAGTTGCGCCACTGCACGTCAGAGGGGGGTCCCTGAAAATAGCAAAAAAAGAACCCCGAAACCCTGGGGACGTAAATTTTATCAAGTTCTGATTTCTCCCTATTTAAGCAGGCAATTTGGACAAATGATTCACGACATTCGGAGAAGAGGCACTCCAAAACTAGCAATCATGTAAATTTATCAACATAAAATCAATTGAATTTAGGTATTTTGTCATTAACGTCCATTCACCTTGTATATTTTACTTCTTAACTAGTAAAATATGCCATATGTAAATGATAAAATAGTATGGAAATGTACTAGTCCTCTCGTTTTACTCTGCGCATGCAAACGGAGGCAACCTTTCCCAAGGCGCGGAGCGGAGGGCGATGGGCGGACGGGCTACCCCTGCGACGCACGGGAAAGTTCTGCGGAGTGGACCGGGTTAGCAACATGGCGGTTGCGGTGGACGTTGGGACCTTTGAGGCAGTGACGGACAACATTAATTATTTCGTGTTTCCGGGCGCGTCAACTGCTATGGTCATTAGTCCAGTAAGTGTAGTGCATTATTTTATCACGAGACGGTGGTCTTCCCCTGGTTGATGGCGAGATCCGGCGCCGACCTAAAGGACGGCTGGCAGGGTTTTTCCAAACAGATATCTCCCATTATCGAAGCACCGTCCCGGCCTAGACAGTCTATAAGTTCCCGCCTAGTCTTCCGAAATGTGTGAAAGTGTATTGCATGTAAGTGGAAGGGAGAGGTAGGTATGCGGCGAGGACAAGGAAGAGGAAGGAAAGATAGCGCGCGGTCCATGGCCTTTTTGTTACACACAACTGGAGTATTAAACATTCCCTTTTCTTCCACGATTATACACACGATTGTCGGGTATCTAAAGCTATTAGGCCGGTTTATGTCAGGTACTGGGTAACCAAAGCAGTCTGTACGTTTACAGTGCACCTAATAGTCAGCCAAAATAAGTGTTTATGGCTGATTCGAAAGTCAAGAAGACTAAAATTACAGATGATACAAGTTTTGAAACGTTGTTTTTATATCATTCATTGTGCACTTTTAGTTCATTATTTTATTGCAAAACATGAACTTGACAGAATTTCTCACAAAAATAAATTTTCTACCAATATTACGTCATCAAGTGAAATTATTATAACTGAAAATGGCAAGAATTATTTGCCGCAAAATGTTTCTGATAGTTTCATTTCATCCCACACTAAGATCAACATGAATATTCCTGTCTAACTCTAACAAAATGCACTTATAAATTTACTCTCGTGCTGCTCTAAGGGCAGTATTGGGTACATTTCCTCTAGCCTAATTGTAATGTAATCACATTAGAGTTGAAGTACGTTATTTCAGGATTCCAAACTGTCTTCACTTATATTATTAAACTTATCACTTGTATAATTAAAGTGAGTGGTTAGTGATTCGAGCGTAAATGTTAACAAGAACGATCTAAATCGGATATGGCTTTCATATTACCATCCAAGAAAGGGGACCTAATATATAAAATTCGTAATTTCATCACTGAATTTGCCACACACATTTGATGGGACAGCCGAGTGAACCACTCTCTTTGGCTACAATTTTCGCTCCGGATATTGCAAATCAGTAATACTGGGAAATACGTAATTTGCTTGTTTGCAAAGTTGATGGTGCTAAACGCAAAAGAGGCGTGTCTTTCTGTGCAAGCGGAAACGGATGTTAATTCAGTAGCAGGAGGTCCCTGATGCTGCGGCCATTACATGGAGTTCCGCTGAGTCATCCTCAATGCCATCGGCGGAGAGCTGGCTCACCTAAACAAATTGCATTCCCCACGAAACGAGAATCGACGACTTCTTCAGACTGACGTACAAAATTGCATCACCTGTTCATTGCCTCCTTCATTACAAACTGGTTTCGGTATAATATTAGGGGAATTAATATAATTTTAAAATCTTTGACTGAAAGCTAAATTAGAAACCATTGCTCAAGAAGGGCAAATGAAAAATGATAGTAGACAAAATTGCCTCAACCAGATTTAACATATGCGAGTAACCTATACCCAGTGAAAGCACTTGCCACAGCCTTCGTTGCCTAAGCAAAACATAATATATACCGTATGATTCAGAACATTTAAGTAACTGACAGGTACATGGTGAAGCGAATGTTTCCGAGCACCATAATTTGTAAATCAAAAAAGTTGCAATACTTTTTGAATCTTCTTGGCGAAGGAGATATTCTTCTCAAAGCGTCATTGCTCGCAAAGAAGGTTACAGTCGCCTTTCTACATCACAATGAGAGGGGATGGAAATCACATAGGGTCACGAAGAACCGCGTCTCTCAAGGGCACGAGATGACTCACTGGATACCGAACACGGCTGCTAGTTATGTAATCCTGATTCGTGAATAACTGCCATCTCCTGCGAGCGTGGATTTTTGATGCACTCACTACTTTACACAATCGTCATGTACTCTAAGATCATTTTATCCTTTAGCCTTGATGGAGCTCAGTATTGGCGGTCAGAATGACATTGAAATCAAATATACACGAACCAGTCTATTTGTGGGAATTTATAAAACAATTGTGTATAATAATGTTAAATGTTTTGTGGATATCTTGGGACTATTGATATACCCTACATTTTTAACATATTTTACGATACTCTTTAGGAAGGCAGGACTTTTCATTAGCATGGAATGCAGTGTTCTCTGCGAGTGAGATGTTTAAACTGAACTCACATCAATATTTCCAGAATAGGAGTCATATATGTTGACAAAATACAAAACATTCTTCGCCAGTGTTTTAAAAATGCAGAAAGATTCGTTTGCATTTTTATTTACGAATAAATTATTTCTTAGTTGAAAACCAAATACAATAAAAATTAATACATTGTTTCGAACACTACAATAATGTTTAACATATGTCTATGGCAAATACTTATCGCACGAGATCTACTGAAAGAAAAAAATTGACTATGCGACACAACTGTAGTTTCATCACAATCCTAATTGTCTCATATCACATCGTTGTTCCAATTTTGTTGCACTAACCTTATAAAGATTTTCTTAAAAAAGGGCTGTCTTGGTTATATCTGTTTAAAAATAAAAAAAAGATATATGATAGGATAGAGCGGGTGCACGAGACGGAGAGAGTGAACTGACCTACCGAATGACTTATTCTAAAAATTACAACCCCATGAAACGGAGGGATGCCCCTTGAGTCGGAGAAAAGGCCTCGTTTCGTCATGTTTCCTCCCTGCCGTAAAAAGCCCCTTACGGAGAAGAAACGTCGGGCAGTCGCCAGAGAAGGTCGATCCGCTTAGGGAAGAACGGACAGGGCAGAGCGGCTGGCGTCTGGAAAGCGGAACACGACGCCCCGATACAAAAACTTAGTCTTCAAATACACGACATTCCATTATCATTTCAAGGAGCAATGCATCTTCCTAAAAGAACAAATTCATGGCAATCTACAGTGAAGCTATGTTTTAACCTATGAAACCAATAAATAGTTTACAAGTATGTGCCAACTCTAAAAAGACATTTTTATATTATTCACCTCAAGAGTAAAAATATGCTAACCATATATTTGGAAACGTTTATTTTAAATGTAAAGTAGAATCAAATATCACGAAAGAACTAACATTCATTTTGTATGTATTCCAGTACCTCGTATTACCAACAGATAGAACAATATCAGTTTCAGAATTTATCCAAATCAATTCATCTTTTAATTACAAATGAATTGTATTTATTTCACTGAACTCCAATTAATAACATCTCTTGTCATATCTTTATTACGCAATCAGAATAAAATTAAATCTATACTTAACCAAACGAAATTATTGAATTGCTTATTGCTTCAGGCTATTACGAATCTAATCATAATCATTGTTAATATGTAACTAATCTCTGCTCTTGAATCTTTTAGCTAAACACCACAGAAAGGTATGAAACAACGTACTTTCACACAGACAACTTATTTTTTATTATCCGTGTTCAGTATTCTCCATTTTTCGAAAGCACGTGAGACCCTGACCCTATCAGCACTTCGCGCGATTGTGCACATGCGGGCACCGCCATTTGCAATGATACTCACCCTGCGTTCTGTGAGCCGCGTCCGCGTCTGACAAGTGCAGGACCTGAAACACAGATACACATCAGCACAAGCGTACTAAAACGATCAATAAAAATTAGCAAAAGTTCAACGCCCCGGCGCTTAAGGAAGCAAAGTTAAGAAAAGTGCGCGCCCACGCTACGTTAGATTTACTATTCCTAAAAAGCTTTGAATCTTAAGTACTAAGCAGTTACTGACTTCACATTCCCTTACGAATACTATAAATATTCAACGCAATATTTAAAATATCCTCACAAAATAAATATGCGAGAGAACCAAAAGCATATTTTACTATCGCCATACTCCAATTTCATTTTGTTGCGTTCACGTGAGCAATCGATGTTAAGCAAACCATTTGCGGGTAGTGTATAAATACATCTTCACCGCTAAGGCGATCGCCGTAAGATATGCCTCATTTTAATTCATCTATTAAGATTTTACAAGGGGAAATCGACGATAGCATTCCTGCGCTGACAAGCAATCCCCGTTCCATTAGAAGGGAGCTAATTATATCCGCCATTGGAGGAGGGGGCGGAGAGGCGCTCTCATTCACGCGCGAGGAGAATTTCGGCCATTCCGCGAGGAGGCAAATGGCTGGAGACGACGCTGTAAGCCAATTCACTTTTTAACATAATTGACCGTCGTAGATTACATTCTAATTACATGTGTATTGCTCCATGATGTGTACTGAAAGTGACTATTGATTCGCCGAAGCGGCTCACCAATTTTGTCAGTTACCCCTCGTATATAGAGTAGAATGGTCATCTTGGGGTTGGTATCGTCACTATGTTTGCAGTACTACTGATACTGCTGACATTACTACACCTATCAACCATACCAACGGTAAGATGGTCATTCTACCCTATATACAAGGGGTGGCTGACAAAATTGTCAAGCTTTTGACCCGCTTCTGTATTAAGACGGCCTACAAAGCCAATGTAAAACTAGGTCAAAGATCGTACGCGTTAAAGGCCGCGTCCCGCCTCTTCTGTCATCGGGGGAATATGGAATTCCATGCAGATGTTGCCAGAGTCACATCGGCGAGATGGGGTGAACCATCGAGGAACGCCTCCGTGTACGCATTCGCCTTACAAGTTCAATAATACTAATAAATCGGCGCTAGCTCTCAACACATGAAAACTGGCCACTCCATTCTTTTCTATAACACCCGCGTTCTAACTAGGGAAGACCACTGACGGCAGAGAACGTAACTTAGTTTTCTACAACAATGAAAACGAGATAAAAAGCTTATTTTTATTACATTATAAAACGCTGACACTTGAAGCAAATACCAGACATTTTTCTTAAAAATCACATTTTTCTATCCCCCCGTCTCCCATCCTAAAAGCCGTATTTCCTTTTTTACTTATCGCCTAAGCTATCAGACTGTTTTCCAAACCACGTTTTCAATTTTATTTACTAAATTTGTTTATTGGATACATTTCATTATTTGCCGTGCGAATTAATTCCTTTGCATGGATTTGAAGCTCTTCGTTGTGATTGTTGCCTTGACTAAGAAGTCAGTATTTCAAAGTTTTAGATATCATTGTACCAGCCAATATTGACAAATTTATTAATTTCCAAACGCACAGAAAAAAACAATGAGGTTTGTGCTCCGGTCCTGTGAGCGATGTCTATGTTTGTTAACTACACAGGAACTCGAGAGAAAATAGAAAAGCAATGAAACAGTTTCGATTTTCTCTGGAAAATAAGAAATATCCTTTGAGGTACTTCGCTTATTCCCATACTGAGCGTGCCGAATTTATTCTCCTACTCAGTAATCACTTTTTACGACACAGCTTATATCTTGCGACAGCAAAGTTCCTGAAAAGAGGCCGTTCGTCATTAAATATTTGATATCCATGTGTTGTTTTGTAAAAGCAACTTTGTTGGTATTATTCATATGTAAAGAACTGTGGTACAGTATATGCAATATATTGTATTATTAGGTTCTCTCACACTTACTTGCGAAGTCTATTTTTTATAAAAGTATTCTATTTATGCGATGTTATACGAGCTGAGCGATTTGTTTTTTATTTCTCTTGAGCAGTGCGAAGTGTGCGTGCTACTTATGGGCGTGCATGTGGTGCAGTGAAGGGTGCTACGTGCTACGTTTTGGAAAACTATTTTGTATGGTTTTGTTCAGCAGCATTGTTACTGCAGCAAGCCACTAATGGAATGAAAAACGTTTCCTGAGAAAAAAGACACACATTGTCAGAGTTATGTAGAGGGATTGAGGATGATCACTTTTCACCATTGATCGCAGTGGGACTCTTCATATAACTATATTACACGCGTGCCATTAGCCTCTGATTGCTAGTCAATTTTTCATTCACTAGTGTCCCGCATATCTCGGTCTGACGAAAAGAGATTTTGTGTATCTGTCAAACATCGGTGAATGAGGGGTTGCCTAACGGACAGGTGAAATGTCGCACGTGTAACTTCGTAATATGAAATATCCCACTACATGTACTGGCAAAAAAAATATCATCTTCGACCCGTCTAGATGTCCTACAAGTTTGTAACATTCATTTTGAGACACTTTAGAAATTGAAATAGAATTTTCTAGGTAAAATAATGGGAAATAAGGAGATGAAATTAATTTAGTGTGATTTATTTAACATTACTCAACTCAAGTCAAACTACAATAATATTCGTGATTATATCTAACAATCCGCAGAATATTACACAAAAAACATCGAAAAAAATTTAATGTTATAATTCCTATCCACATTATGCTTTCTTATACAAAACTAATAAATATATTGAGGCATTAAAATTTCGTAACTCTGCAAACAAAAATATTTACATCCAAACTCCTTATTACAAGGAGCAGTCCATGTTACGGTATTTAAACAAACGTTAACTCTGAGAATCCCTTTAGCGCGATGTTAACCCGGGAGCTGAAGGTCGGCGCGAGCCGTCTCTGCTTCCGAGTGGAGACGTGCCCTTCCGGTGCACGCGACCGCCGGCGCGCCCGCAGATTTCCTGCGCCCGCCCGGCCCGCCCACTTTACTGCGCACCTTAATCTTAACTTCCTCGCCCTCCGCCCCAGACAAAGAGCTCCTTCTCACGGACGAGGCCGCCGCCGCCGCCGCCGCCTCCTCCTCGGCCGCGGACCTCCCTCTTCGTTACCAAAACAATCCCCAGCGCGCCCCACGTTGGTGAACATTGATGGCCGTCTTCGGACGAGACGAAGACGGACGGCGAAAATACACGACGCGCCGTTAGGCGCACATTGCATTAACACACTTTTATTTGTACATCGTGTTAAACAATTGTGTTCGAAAGGTTTCAGCTGTTTCATATATACATATACTTATAAACAAAATATTTTTCATTGTTTGGTTGTTCGTTCAAATAATAATTAATTTATTCATTTTCCTCCTTTCAAAATGGAAAATGATTATTCACAATATATGTTTAATTCCGTGCTTTAAATCAATTTATCCTTAGTAATACGGCATAATTAGTGGTAAAATCATCGCAATATTAGTCACATTACTAAGCATGTTTCTGATTTTTTATTAAATTGAATTTAATTGTTTAATTTCTGTTCATATTTAAAATTACTTTGGAGGAGACTTTCACATGAGGTCCCAATGGGGCACCTCCTTAGAAACCCAGTCTTGCACTCGTTTCGTCGCCCTTTCCCATGCCGTGCATATAGGGCGCTACTTCCCATATCCTACATCTCGTCCGCCGTGCCCTATAACCCCACGTGCCTACAAGTATCCCTGTGAAGAAAGTCCCCCACGCGTTCCCGTTGCCTCCATCGCCGCCGCTGCCGCCGGGCCGTGGCTCTGGGCAAATGCATGCAAATGAATGCGGCGCCCGCGGCGCGGCAGCGACCTGTTGACGGAGTACAGAGCGTTTCCCCCGGCCGGCGCCGGCGCCGCCGCAGCTTAAAAGAACATATTTCATCGCGGAAGGGGCGGCCCTCACCGCGCCCGTTCATCCGGGCGAGAAGTGGGGGGGGGGGGGACGGCGGCGGAGGCCACGTCGCGTCGGCACGGCCAGCGACGGTCAGGTAAATAGAATTCAGTCACACGCGAAAGTCAAGGCACTGGATGATCGCATTGGTTAAGTGCTCATATTAAGTTGTATCGTAGCTGAGATATAGCCTTTCTCCGTAGAGGAAAGACGGTCTTTCCTTTTTGGTTGAACCAAGGGTGCTGAGTAGGATGAATGCAATGCACTATGACCAGAGGAAACACCCACACAAGAAAGCTAAGTTAAAAATAATGGAATATCAATTAATCCAAATTAGTGATGAGGGCAAAAACGACATGTCCACAGCCACAGAGTGTGTCAGGCAACAGAATCAATGGAAAATAGAACATTGAAATAATCCCCACCATATTAGTAAAGGGCACTTCATGAAAAAAAATTGATTACATCGCTCCTCGGAGAGGATTCCATCTAACTACGAGCCACAACAACGATTTCTTTGAGTTAGCAGTTACTAGTGTCGAGAGAACATCAATCATTTATAATGATCCTGTGTTCACTGTGAGAATCCGTTCTTTCCTGATCATTCATTTATCTTATCTTTGCCGGACGCGAGTCACGAGACATGCAATTGCATGAAACAACTTAATGCGGTCAAGTGACCTACTAAGGGGTGAAATTCATTTCGCAATGTAAGATGTGAAATAAATGAGATTAATCGTTATTTTGATTGCAAGACATCAGTGGATACATTTACCTACGAATTGTCGAATCGAATCAACGAAAGTCAGCAGAACTACAAAAGAAATATTTCGAAGCTGTGTTAATCCTTTAATAAATCATGTTTGTGCGATAAAAATATGTGAATATTATTCCGGTTTTATTACGTAAAAAATAAGCATAAAGATTTTTTACAAACAATGTATCAGAATAAGAACGACCGTAATATTGTAGAAAAATAAGCTGTTGCAAAATTGGCTAATGAGATACTAATGTAAACTAATGAGGCCAACGCTTCTCTTGCTGTAAACATAGACAGCACACGAACAATGAGAACGATCGCCGATTCACAAT